TAGATAGATAGATAGATAGATAGATAGATAGATAGATAGATAGATAGATAGATAGATAGATAGATAGATAGATAGATATTTTCATTTGTTTTTGTAAATACTGTAAATACTCTAAAATTCCTGTATAAATCTATGATCCATTCATTATCTAAAGGTACTTCTTCCTTTCAGCTTCACTGGTGTTCATATCCCGTAATCACTACAAGGGGCAGGGTACACACTGGACAGGTTGCAGACAAAATACATTCATGCTGTCATTCACACCTAGGGACAATTTAGAATTAATAATTAAAAACATTCATGCTTTTGGTCTGTTGGAGTAGAATTCCTGGAGAAAACCCACGCATGCACAGAGAGAACATGCAAACTCTACAGAAAGGTCCCTGGTCGAAATTCGATCCAACAACCTTCTAACTACGAGGCAACAGATCTACCAACTGAGCCACAAAGATTTTTCAATGCATGAGGAGTTAAAACTCACAAAATGAAAGAATAACAGCTGAATAGTAATGTTACTTCAGTTCTCAAGCATTGGTGTTGTTTTTTTTTCCTTGAGTGTCATTCCCGATGCACTCTCAACTTTACGCACAATCGCACAAGATGGTGCAAAACGCTATATATCTACAACTTAGTTATTTCTCAACATAAGATGATTTTAGCCTAAAACTCTGCCATGAAAGGTGGCAGGTGATATGCAACACTTCAAGGAATGCTATGTTTTAGTGCTTCAGTTAGAGGTATTCCAGCCGCTAGTTGCACATTTCTTTAATAGAAAAAAATCCCTCAGTTGAATATGACCAAAGCTGTAAGTGCTGTGTTATAGTAGTTTGGAAAGGGCATATCATTTGAGCACATCAGTTCATCCGGTGACTCACTGGCATCTGCTCAGTCTCACTGAAGGTCAATGCACGCTCTGCTCCTAGGGTTTTTAGAGTACGGTGCCCTCCTCCCCGCGCTTCCCCCAACACCGGGGCCATGCCTGTTTTCCATTGTGCCTCACACAAGCAGCTCATATGTATTGCAGTAAAACGTGGTGCAAAAACGCTGATGTCATCACTGTTTGAGCCAGCTGYGGGTTTTGAGGTTGAGCACTTGGGAGCTTTGGGAGCAACACTGTGGGTTGTTGGGGTTGCAGCTCTCCWGGCCCTCATAACTCCAGTTTAACGTCTCGACTCTGCGTGTGTGGGAGGTGGTGGCGGGGAGGGCGGGGTGTCTTCCAGTCATCCAGCYGCACCAACTGTGGAGAAATGAATTCATGAATCTTAAGAGTGGCACCACGCATTGCAATGTGAATCTATTCCTGACGGAGCAGATGTGTGTGTGCAGTTTGGTATCTGCGGTGGAAACATTGTGTATGCATGAAAAATACATTTAAAGATGAGGGAATTCTTGATGGAGTTGCAGTCACTAAAAACCATTAGTGGATCGTCTGGTCCTGTTCTGAACTCCTTTATACTGTACACATTATATATATATAT